CCGATGTCCTCATAAGCCATGGCATTACATTACCGCACACCATTCTGTCTGTCGCAGGAAATTCTACGTGCCTCCCAGTTGTCAACTTTAGCTTGACACCTCAAGTTTTGCCACAAGGAATTTCTTTGGCGTTGCTCTGCACCTTGGAAGACAATACGGTAGATGTTTTCGCGACGGCCGCCCCTTTTGACCCCCACGCTCAACATCAATCTGTGACTTGCTCCAACAGCGCTATTACTACGATGATGGCTTCCAACTTAACGCTGCAGCAGACTGATGAGCTCCACCGGGTTCTGCTGTCCTACATCGACGTTTTTGACATCAGTGGCCATCCGTTGGGGAAAGCTACTGGTATGAGCCACCGCATAAACACTGGTAATGAGCATCCTATTCATAGGCGTCCATATCGGGTGTTGGCGGCCGAGCGTCACACCATCCAAAGTGAGGTCGACAAAATGCTCGCGAAGGACATCATTGAGCCATCTTGCAGTCCTTGGGCTTCTCCTGTAGTGCTAGTCCGCAAGAAAGACGGTGCATGGCGTTTCTGCGTGGATTATCGACACCTAAACAAAATTACCAAAAAAGACGTCTACCCTCTGCCACGAATAGATGATGCGCTTGATTGTTTCTATGGGTACCACTATTTTTTCTCCATAGACCTTCGTTCCGGCTATTGGCAGATGGAGGTAGATGAAATGGACCGTGAAAAGACGCCATTCATCACCCTCGATGGCCTATATCAGTTCAAGGTCATGCCCTTCGGCCTTTGTAACGCTCCAGCCACCTTCGAACGAATGATGGACTCCCTGCTAAGAGGATTCAAATGGTCTACCTGTTTGTGCTATTTGGACGACGTCATCGTCTTTTCACCAACATTTGAAACTCACATAGAGCGCCTCTCAGCCATCCTGGGAATATTCCGTCGCGCTGGCCTGCAGCTCAACTTGTCCAAATGTCACTTTGGACGCCATCAGATCACAGTGCTTGGCCATTTGGTAGACGCCAGCGGTGTACAACCAGACCCGGCAAAAATCAGCGCCATCAAAACCTTTCCTGTGCCACGATCTGCGAAGGATGTACGCAGCTTTATCTGACTATGCTCCTACTTCCGACGCTTCGTGAAAAATTTTGCGCACATAGCGAGGCTGCTTACGCAGCTCCTCAAGAAAGAAGTCCCGTTTTCATGGGGCTCCGAAGAGGCTTCTGCGTTCTCGACTCTCGTCACTCCTCTCACTACCCCTCCGATTCTGGCACACTTCAACCCTGCTGCCCCTACGGAAATCCGTACAGATGCAAGTGGGCATGGCATTGGTGCAGTGCTGGCTCAGAAACAACATGGCCATGATTGCGTTATTGCATATGCCAGCCGCCTCCTATCCGCCCCTGAACGTAACTCTTCGATAACAGAGCGTGAGTGCTTGGCTCTTGTATGGGCGGTGGCGAAATTTCGACCTTATCTATACGGACGCCCATTTTCGGTGGTTACCGACCACCACGCGCTCTGCTGGCTCAGCTCTCTGAAAAATCCATCAGGCCGCCTTGGTCGCTGGGCTTTGCGCCTGCAAGAGTTTTCCTATTCGGTCGTCTACAAGTCTGGCCGCCTACACCGTGATGCCGATTGCCTCTCCCGGTACCCTGTCGACGATCCTGAGGACACTGACGAGCCCACGGAGAACTCTATCTTGTTAGTGTCCGACTTCCTTAATATTGGGGAAGAACAGAAGCGTGATCCAGAGCTGCTTGACATCATCAGCCGTATGGAATCCTCCACAAATGATGCTTCCGTCTGCTACTTTGTCATTCAAAAGGGTGTGCTACACCGTCGCGATTTCCAACCAGACGGGCCCGACCTTCTCATTGTTGTGCTTAAGCATTTGCGCCACTGTGTTCTCACCGAACTTCACGACGCTCCCACGGCTGGACACCTTGGCGTATCCCGCACGTACGAGCGCGTCCGGCGCCGCTTTTTTTGGCCAAGCCTTGCTCGTTCGGTACGCCGATACGTTGCCACGTGTGACCTATGCCAACGTCGTAAAACACCGTCGCTGCTACTCGCTGGCCATCTCCAACAAATTGATATACCCGCGGAACCATTTTACCGTGTTGAGTTAGACCTGCTTAGACCTTTTCCCACATCAACATTGGGAAACAAATGGATAGCCGTTATTACAGACTACGCTACACGCTACGCTATTACGCGAGCTCTACCGA